TAGACTCTTGGGAACCCCCATTGTGTTGGACTGGGCCGGTATGTTCTGTTCTCTATGTTTACGGAAGGCCTGAGGTCAAGGAAGGCTGCTCAGGAAGGGACGTAGGGGAGGGGGTGCTTCCCTGGGGGCTTGGTCCCAGCCCCTCTCTCACAAACTAGACTTCTTCACACTGACTGTGGCTCTGACCATCGCCCCCATTTCATCTTCTGAGGAACATGGTCTACCTGGGCCCTCAGGAACATACATCTCTCTAGCTCTACATCTCAACCCTACACTGGCTCTGACAGCCAAGGTGGGCTTGGGTGGGTGTGCCCACGTTCTCTAGAGTAACACTGAGTTCCAATCTGGAGACTTCCTGTGTGATCTCAGACGCAGCTCTTCTCAGCCTTAGTTTTCCCGATCTGCAAAATGGGAAAACAGTGGGTCCAGCCTCACAGGGCAGCTCTGAGGATTTAATGTGATGGTGTACTCGCACTATTGCAACTATCCTGGTGTTGTTAGAACTCGCTCTACCTCTGACTCCGGGCGCCTCTCCTGCCATGGTTGGACCTGTCAGGTCTTGATGGCTTGAGGTCAGTATGTCCAGTTCCAAGGTCTCTGATTCCAGAAACACAGAGCTAGGCCTGTGTGGAGGCTCACCCATGGGCTCCTGACACCTGGTTCTGGGTTTCAGCTTCTAGAAGGAAACTCTCCCCTCTGCGGCCCCAACTCTTGTTACTTATCAAGGACGAGGTGAAATGTGCTAGGGGTGGTGGGAAGCAGTGCCTTGTGGGCACTCAGGATGATACCCTGCCTCTCGTCATCTGGCTTAAAATCTTCTCTTGTCCCTAGCCCAGCCCTTCTGCTCCTCAGCAGGTTCAGGAGCAGCAAGACTGGGGCTGGGAGCAGGGAATTTTTCTGGGTGGGGCTTCAGTCTTCCCTTCGTCGTCCTGGAAAGGAAGTTTCATGCTTGAAGAATTTCCCCTCAAGATGCTGTGGATGGTGAGCTGGGGGCGTGGGGAGGTGAAGGGGCTATGGGACAGAGGAGGGAGTGACTGGAGGCGGAAGGAGCTGGACTGAACGTGTACAGAGGTGTTTAGCCAACATGCATGGCACTGATTATAAGCACCGTCTTATTGTAAACCACTCAGTTCTCACAGCCCACCTGGAGGGAGCTCTGTTTGATTCCTGTTTGTAGGTCAGGGCACTGAGGAGACACAGTTAGTGAGTGTGGGAACCATGATTTGAACCCAGGCCATCTGGCGCCAGTGTCCACTCAACTGACTAAAAGTGGCATAAAGGAAGCCAGACTGTCCCCTCCAGACCCCCGAGAATGCCCATGTGGACGGAGTTGTCCATCCGCCTTGGAACAACTATTGAAACAGGTGGGGTGGAGGGCATGTGACCCAGGAACCAATAGAGTCCTGCAATCCTCCCTCGTTTATTGGAATTTCTCGCCACACCTCATAAGGTGCTCACTCCCTGCCTAAACCCCCTTTGCTCTAAGTCCCAGTCCAGAAGGGCTGATGAAAGGCAGATGGTTTGTCCTCTCACAGCAGTGGCCTGCTCTGAAGAGCTCCACCCCTGCTTGCTGTGTGACCTCAGGAAGTCACTGGCCCTCTCTGGGCCTTGGATCCAGATACCATAAAATGGGATTTGGGGCTGGTGCTCAAGGAGATGTGCACGCTGTGAGTTGACGGTGCCATAGCGTGGTCGTAGTGTGAGGACTGCCCGGAGGTGGTGACCCTGGGGCTGGACAGCCCAGAAACTGGCAGAAAGGAGAAGGAAGAGGGGCTCTGAGGTGGGTGCTGCCCTTCCTTCTGCTGGTTTGAAGTGGTAGGAGGCAGTTTCAAAAGGAATTAAAATACTTACTGAGGGCTCAGAGTGAATCTTCACAGCTCTGCCCCGAAATCCTTTCATATCCTTCTTCGTCAGGGGTCCTGTGATGACACCAGGACAAAATGATGAGCACACTGGGCAGATGAGATGACCAGGTTGATGAAGCCCGAGAAATTGGGGTTCACCACACAGGTGGGACATTAGGAACCAGTTGTGGCTTGGAGGGGCCTGGTCCAGGAAGGTGACAGTGAGCTCCTGCCTGGAACACACCCTTCCTGTGATGCTGCCCTGAAATAGGCAATTCAAAAGTCACCTCTTCCTGGAAGTCCACCTTGGTTTCTTCTGAACACAGATTCCTTATGTGCCTCCAGGTGCCAGGCCTTCCTTTTGTCTACCCTATGGCAGATGGTTGCATCTGTTACCACTACCCACAGGATGAGGTTGTCTGTCCATCTATGTCTGCACCCAGCTTTGTCACAGGGTGGGGTGGCAGCTGACATCAAGGAGAGCCAAGCCACCTGGTGTCTCTTTACCAGTGCCAGGTGCAGAGGTTCCTGGACAGGTGCTGCAGTCCGGACCATGTAGGGAAAGCCTGGCCTCTGGGGAAATCTTAGGCTAGTTGTTTAATTCCTTGGGTTTCAGCTTCCCAGTTTGTAAAAGGGCCAACAATAATGCCCACTTCACAGAGTGGAGAGGAGATTCATGTATGTGCAGGGTGGAGACAGGACAGCACAGAGACTGGCAGACAGTAGTTGCTCAGCTAATTGAGGCCCTGGGGGGCAGAGGTGCCCACTCTACGCTGGGGTAACAGGTGATCCAACCATTTGCCATCAGAGTTTCTAGTCTCCTACAGAAACTGAGACCTCCCCTCTGATGTTCCAGCTGCACAGGGTCCTGGATACTGGCTCTCTCTGGTGGTTATACTAGGAAATGCCTGTCTCTTTTGGTCCCAGTAGAGGGTGCCATGGGCACCTTGATCCTTAATTACATTTCCTTCACCACCCTCCTGTCTTTATCCAGAAATGTCTGTGCACCACCCTCCCTCTTGCTCCCACGCGTCCTCTGACTTAGAGATGAATCAGGAGTACTCTGGCTGGCTGAAGAGGAAGCACACTATCCCATATTGACTGCTGTTAGTTGTCGCTGAGTCTGTACCAACTCATAATGACCCTACGCACTACAGAAGGAAACACTGCCCCGTTCTGTGCCAACCTCACAATTGTTGCTATGTTTGAACCCATTGCTGCTGTTACTGTACCAATCCATCTTGTTGGTGGTCTTTCTCTTTTTCCCTGTTACTCTACTTCCCAAACATGATATCCCTCTCCAGAGACCGGTCCCTCCTTATAATATGTTCCATGTATGAGAGACGAAGTCTGGCCATCCTGGCTTCCAAGGAGCACTCTGGTTGTACTTATTTCAACACAGATTGATTTGTTCTTTTGGCAGTCCATGGTACTTTCAATATTCTCCTCCAGCACCATAACTCAAATGCTTCAGTTCTACGGGCTTCCTTATTCACTGTCCAACTTTCACATATATATGAGGTTATTGAACCTGACTCGGGTCAGGCACACCTTAGTCCTCAAAATGTCACTGCTTTTGAACACTTTAAAGAGGTCTTGCGCAGCATATTTGCCTATGCAGTTTGATTTCTTGACTGCTGCTTCCATGAGTGTTGATGGTTGATCCAAGCAAAATGAAGTCTTTGACAACGTCAGTCTTTTCTCCATTTGTCATGATGTTATTTATTGGTCCAGTGGTGAGGATTATTGTTTTCTTTACATTGAGTTGCAACTCATACCGAAGGCTGTGGTCTTTCATCTTCATCAGTAAGTATTTTAAGTCTTCTTGACTTTCAGCAAGCAAGGTTGTATCATCTGCATATTGCAGGTTGTTACTGAGTCTTCCTCCAATTCTGATGCCACACTCTTTGTCATGTAATTCAGCTTCTCAGATTATTTGCTCAGCATACAGATTAAATAAGTATGATTGAAGAATACAACCCTGGCATATACCTTTCCTAATCTGAAATCATTCGGTGTCCCCTTATTCTGTTAGAATGATTCCCTCTTGGTATATATACAGGTTCCTCATGAGCACAATTAAGTATTCCGGAATGCTTATTTTCCACAACGTTGTCCATAGCTTGTGATGATGGAAAACCTTTGCATAGTCTATAAAGCACAGGTAAATATCTTTCTGGTATCTCTGCTTTCAGCCAACATCCATCTGACGTCAGCAATGATGTCCCTCGTTCCACGGCCTTTTCTGGACCCAGCTTGAACCTCTAGAAGTTCTCTGTCAATGTATGGTTGCAGCCATTTAAAAATTAAATAAAAATTAACAAAAAATTTATTTGTATGTGATATTAATGACATTGTCCAATGGTTTCTGCATTCTGTTGAGTCGCTTCTCTCTTTGGAATGGGCAGAAATATGGATCTGTTTTAGTAAGTTGGTCAGGTAGTCGTCTTCCAAATTTCTGGGCATAAATGAGTGAGTGCCCCCAGTGCTGCATCAGTTTGTTGAAATATTTCCATTTGCATTCCATCAGCTCCTGATGTCTTTTTCTTTGCCAAAGACGTCATTGCACCTTTTACTTCTTCCTTCTTATCATTGGCTCTTGATCATATGCTACCTCTTGAAATGGTTGAACACTGACCATTTCTTTTTGTTACAGTGACTCTGTGTATTCCTTCCATCGTCTTTTGATGCTTTCTGACTAGGAGGGAGTCCTGGTCAGGGTAGGAATCTAAGGTCAGGTCTGACTTTGGAGGGAGCTGAGAAAGGCATTCTGGAGGAAATGTTGTCTGAACTAGGTCTCAGGAATGATGACGGTGAGGTTTCTGGTGGAGAACTCTGAGAACTTAGTTCTTCTGTATGTCGTCCAGGTCTGGTCAGGGTGGGGTCGTGATGGTTCCTGGGCCCAGGAGGGAGGTTCTATTAATTATCTCCATTATTGGCACGTGAGAGGGAAAGCTGGGCCTTGAACTCAGACAAGCGCCAGACAACCGCTGCATCCTGATGCTCAGCTTTTGGCAGCCCTGAGGAGGTCCACACTTGCCTCCTCACCTCATCCTCTGTGTCCATGCCATGCTGGGCTGCCTCTCTGTGGTCCAAGTCCTTGACTTAACTCCTGCTCTCTTTCAGGCAGTGACATCTAACGTGACTTCCTGGTAGGAAGATGGCTGCCTGGGGGCTGCTGCAGATGGTTGTGCTCCTCCTGGTCCAAGGTATGGCTTTCCTTGGGGCTGTGGTGACTGATGGTAAACTGCTCCCATCTCTACGAGAGTTGCCCCTCTGGGCAGGAAAGTATCTTGTGGAAAAGAAAAAGCAGCCCTTTCTCCTGATAAAGGAGGCCTGGTGGTGCAGTGGCTGAAATGTTGGAGTACTAACTTAGTGCTTGGCAGTTTAAACCCACCAGCCACTCCACAGGAGAAAGACGAGACTGTCTACAGTCTCAGAAAGTCTTTAGAGCGGTACTCCTTGGTCCTGTAGGGTTGCTCTGCATTGGCCTGACCTTGCCGGCAGTGGGTTTTAGGTTCTGGTTCTCCTGAGAGATGGGCTGGGGGACATGGGTAGGAGTTCAGCCCCCTGCCCCTTTGCAACCAGAGCGTCCTGTGCAGTGCACACCCTGCACAGCTGTCCATGGCAGTCGGCCTCATCAAATACTTCATTGATAACAATAATAATAAAAAATTTTGCCTTTGAGATGATTATTTTGATTTTCCTCTGTTCTTTTTATATTTGAAAGCCAATTTTTAAAAATGTTGTGAGATGATATCTCATTGTTGGTTGTTTTTAAGATTTTATTGTGAATTAAGTGATAGTTTACAGGGCAGATCATTAGTTTTACACTCAACCATTCATATTTTGTTCATTGTAATGATTACAATTCTCTCCATGAACCATTGACTAACAGTATTAACCTCTATTCCCCACTTTGTGCTTTGATGTACACAAAACACACATAAAATATGTATTTGTTTAAACGACCAAAGGACACATTTTGCAAGACAGCCTCTCTCCCGCCAGCACACAGCCTTTCTCATGTCATGGGTCTGGAGTCCTCAGTTGCTCTGTCTTTCTAGGCTGTAGCTTCTCCTTCTGTCTCTGGTATCGCTGTTTCTTTGATTAGGAATCCACGCTCCCCTCATGCTCCTCCCTCTTGATGGTCCTAGGGTCCTCTGTTCCTGGAATGAAAGATTAACTGCTCCCCACTTTTTGTTTCACATATTCTACCTTTACAGTTGTGGTGATCACAATTAGTCATGATGACAATTACTCACTATTGAATTAAAAAAAAAAAAAAAATCTATCCCCTACCTCCCCTATCTCTTTCACCAGACCCATCTGGACAAGAGGAAAATTGTTCAGTGGGGATTCTAACTTACCCCTCTTGTTCTGAAACTAAACACACTCTTGAAAGCTTGTAAGCCAGCCCCTTTGTTGTTTTTTAGTGTCGTCGAGTCGGTTCCGACCCATAGCGACCCTGTACAGGGTTTCCGAGGGTGTAAATTCTTACGGGAGTAGAAAGCCTCATCTTTCTCCCGCGGAGCGGCTGGTAGTTTCAAACCGCTGACCTTAAGGCTCGCAGCCCGATTCGTAACCACTACGCTACCAGAGCTCCTTAAGCCAGCCCCTTTATGCCTTATTTTTTGTTGTTGTTAAGTGCCGTCGAGTCAATTCCGACCCATAGCGACCCTGTATAGGATTTCTGAGGATCAGCTGGTGATCTTGAACCACTGACCTTGCAGTTCAAACTGGCTTTGAAGTCTGACACATTAGCCCACAGCGCCACACCAGGACTCCTGTGCCTTTATGGTGGTGTTGGTTATGTGCCGTGGGATTGGTTCCGACTCATAGTCACCCTGCACAGGGTTTCCGAGGCTGTAAATCTTTACCGGAGCAGAAAGCCTCATCTTTCTCCCGCACAACAGCTGGTAGTTTCGAACTGCTGACCTTGAGGTTCGCAGCCCAATTTGTAACCACTATGCTGTAAGAGTTCCTTCATAGCCCCCGTTTTGGGTAGCCAAGGTCTACATTGCCTGTCCCTATCAACCCTGTGTACTAAGGGGTCAGGCTTGATCCTTAATGTGAAGAATCCCTCTCGGTTGGAGTTTTGAAACCATTGGTGTTCGACGAGGTAGACATTTTTGTAGATCCACTGAGGAAATCAGTGTGACTCTCAGAACTAGGTTGTGCATTCTGGGCCCAGGGCCTCTCCTTTCCCATGTCCCCACTCGCCGCTGCCTCTGTGGCCCACCTTCAGCCCCTGCCTCCCCCAGGTGCCCGTGGGGGCCTCCGAGAAGACTTCCGCTTCTGCGGCCAGAGGAATCAGACCCAGACAAGCAGCCTTCATTATGAGCAGTCGTCGGAGCTGCACATCGCCATCGAGAACACCGAGGGTGCTCTGACGGTGCGCGCCCCCTTCCCTGCAGCCCCCGGAGCTTCCCAGGTCCTCCCTGACCGCAGGGGTCTCTACCACTTCTGCCTCTACTGGAGCCACCACGCTGGGAGGCTGCACCTCCGCTATGGCAAGCACGACTTTTTACTGAGCGACCAGGCCTCGGGCCTCCTGTGCTTCCGGCACCAGAACGAGAGCACAGTGCAGGGCCCCCACCTGCTCGCCACCTCCGTCAGCTCCTGGTGGAGCCCCCGTAACACCAGCCTGCCCAGCAACACCGGCTTCACTTTCTCCTTCCACAGTAAGAAGACTTCCGGGCCTGGGGAGAGTGGGGGGCGGGCAGAAGTGAGGGGTGGGGGGACTTTGCTCATAGGTAGTGGGGAGCCACTGAAGGCATCTGAGCAAGGGAGGCGAGGCGTGTGACCTGAGGTGTGATTCTGGAAGCTTGTGGAAGGTCGGGGTGAGGCTGGAGGGGCACCGGTCCATCCCAAGGCTTCAGGAATGAGGGGAATCATTGTAGATTACTATCCCCATTTCAGGGAGGAGAAAACAGAGGCACAGACAGGCTGCCGAAAGCTACACTGCTCTTTAGTGAGGGAACCAGGCTTTGAACCCAGTAGCTGATTGGCTTGAAGTTGGGGAGGAATACAGCAAGCAAAGGCAAAGGTTAGCTTCAGGACGCCTGGGGTGGGAAGAGTGCAGTAGGTTCTGCTATGGGATGTGTGTGTGTGTGTGTGTGTGTGTGTGTGTGTGTGTGTGTGTGTGTGTGTGAATGAAAGAGGCAGCTCCTGCCCCGTTAAGTACTCGAGGAGAGGGGAGGTCAGGGAGGAGAGGGTGGCCAAAGGACCTTGAGGTTTTACAGGAGACTCCTGGTGGGGTGCTGTAAGATCAGCACTGGACTGCAAACCATAAGGTTGGCAGTTTAAACCCACCAGCTGCTCCTCGTAAACCCTATACAGGGTCGTTATGAGTAGGAACCAACTCAACTGCACTTAACAGGACTCGCCTGAGAAACCCTGGTGGCACAGTGGTTAAAGTCCTTGACTGCTACTGGGAAACTCAGACATTTTAACCCTTCTGCCTCTCTGCAGGAGAGGAAATGTTAAATCCATAGAAACCCTACAGGGTTGCCGTGAGTCACAATTGACTCAGCAGCAGTGGGTTTGGTTTCAGATGTCCCTGATTCTGACTCTTTTTAGGCAGCTGTGTACCTGGGATGCACTTTGAAAGCGGCAGGCTGGGGTCCCTGCACTAGCTGGAGGGTGTGGCAGGGCTGTCTCCTCACCCAGGTGTTCCAGCAATTGGACGGGACTACCTCTACCCAGGAGGAGTTGGGTTGAGGCAGAGCAAAGTTACAAACTGGCATTCTGACAACAGATCTGGCTTGTGGAGTGTGAGCCAAGGTTTTCAAATCCCCTAAAAATTAGGGGCTTGTACATTCAGAAGATGTGGTTACACAGGACCTCGATGGGACAGGTCATGTCCCTTTTCCATGTGCTCCACACAGCCTTCTCAGTCTGTCCACATCATCAGTCCCCTCCTGGCCCCCAGAGACACCAGGTCTGCAGTTCTGGGAAGGGGCAGAATCTGGAGACAAGAAGGCCAATGAGTATGGAGGCCCCAAATCACCGCGCATGTCTCCCATGTCCCTCCAAAAGGAAGCCCGTGCTGCCCGAGGGTGACTGGGCTGTATGCTAGGCAGGCCGTACCCCACCCTCCCTGCTGGGGTTGGAGGTGCTGGAGGGGTCCTTGTGACAGAACCCCCATCTGGCTAGCGTCATCTCTCAGTGACCTCAGGCAAGTTCATGTCACCTCAGTTTCCTCTTCTGTAAAATGGTGGTAAAAATAGTCGGAGTCCTGAGCAGGCTGACCTGGAAGAATTGTGACCGTGGCCCAGCTCCTCAGCTAACAGTGTCCAGCAAGTCTGTCCATTTCTCTCCCTTAGAGCCTCCCCAGAACGCTTCCCACAATGCCTCGGTGGACATGTGTGAGCTGAAAAGGGACCTCCAGATGCTCAGCCAGTTTCTGAAGCACCCCAGGAAGAGCGCCAGGAAGCCCATGTCTGTCCAGGCCCGACAGTGAGTGGGGGTGGAGGGAGAATCCCACCAGACCTGGGGCTGAAACACTGTGTGCTTTTCTGGCTCATCTCTCCTGTAAACGGTTCCCCAGTCCTCCTTCCCCCAGTGAAGGAGAGACTCATTGTAGAGCTAAGCAGATTGAGGTCCAAAGGTGGGCAGGGCTGCCCCATGGCCACGTGTTGAAACTGGCAGTTGGAGGATCCTCCTGGCACCCCACCTGGTCACTCCTTTCCTGCTGTCTCCAGCGCTGCTGCCCCACCTGGCCATTCTCTGTCTCCTGCCCCCCTTTTTCTCCTACTTTCCGCCTTCCCCTCTTTCTGCCTGTGCCCTTTCCTTATCCATCTGCTGAGTCTCTTCTCCCCTGTTTCCCTCTTTGCCCCTTTGCCTCCCCTGTCCTCTGGTTCCTCACCCCGGCAGACACCCACCTTTTTCCTCGCCCCTAGGCAACTACAGAGCCTCGAATCGAAGCTGACCTCCTTGAGATTCACAGGGCACACCATGTCCTTTGAGGAGGATCGGGTCAATGCCACGGTGTGGAAGCTCCAACCCACAGCTGACCTCCAAGACTTGCACCTCCACTCCAAGCAAGAGGTCAGGACAGGACAGGGGCTGGGCCCAGGGGAGAAAACAGGTGTGGAGCCCAGGGGACTGCAATGCAGTGCCCCACCTCGACCTTTCCCGGGCTCTCTGGGAAGTGGACAGAAGGTCAGGGAAGCCCACAGGCTCAAGTCAGTGGCTACCTTATGGTACTGAGAACCCAGTGGTGAGACAGATGCCTGAGTACATCCTTCTGAATGGAAGACCAGACCTAAAATGCTTATCCATGCGCCCCTGGGTGGGTCCAGTTAGCTATCCATGTAGCCCCCACCAGTGCTCTAGACTGGACTGGGGTCTGAAGCCCCAACAACAGAACATTCTTGTGATTCTCCCAGTCTATTTGCCTCTGGGCTTTGGGCTCAAACCACACGTTCACCCCTCCCACACCCCATCAGAGCTGGTGCCAAGTCAGGAGAGGTGAGGTGGGCTGTGGACTAGGGGCGGGCCTCTGGCTGAACTCTGAGGGGCTTCTCGTTATGCAGGAGGAACAGAACGAGGTGAAGGAGTACTCGGTGCTCCTGCCCCGCACGCTCTTCCAGAGGGCTAAAGGCCGGAAGTGGAAGGGGGACAAGAGACTCCTCTTGGTGGACTTCAGCAGCCAAGCCCTGTTCCAGGTAGGGGACCCTCACCCTCATGCCCTCCCCTGGAGAAATGATTTCTGTTGGAGAGATGGGAGGAAGGCATACAGCCAACCCCCAGCCTCTTGGAACCAAAGCCTTTCCTTGTGTAGTCAGAAGGGAAACTGCAATGTGAAAATCTCTCTGGAAGAAATTCAAGCAATGCAGTTCTCACTACAGTGTAAATGACTACACAGGCAAGAAGTGTTTCCAGAGGGAGACTCAGCATCTCAGAGAAATGTGCTGGGGAGAGACAGGAATCGAGGGAGCTCAGGAGATGCCTCAGCCCTGAGCCTCCCTCTTCTCTCTTCCCCCAACCCCATTTATCTAGGACAAGAATTCTAGCCAAGTCTTGGGTGAGAAGGTCTTGGGTATTGTTGTGCCAAACACCATAGTAGCCAATCTCTCAGATCCTGTGGTTCTCACCTTCCAGCACCAACCACAACCTGTGAGTATGAGAATCCATCAGAGGAGGGAGCATGGGGGGGCGGGGGAGGGGGGGGGGGGGGCACCTGGATTGGCCATATGCTCCTTTTTATCCCTCTCTTCTACCTTACTTATTCTTAATAAAACATTGCCTGGCTGAGTCTAGGTTTCCCCTGCTTGGGCCTTTACAAAAGGTTGGAGTGTAATGGGATCCGTGTTCTTTCTTTCTTGTCCGTACAGAAGAATGTGACGCTACAGTGTGTATTCTGGGTTGAAGACCCAACATGTGAGTACAGACGGTTCTGGGCTGGGCAAGTCTCTGGAAGAGAAAGAGGATCATTAAGGGTGGGAGTGAGGTAATCAGGGGAAACGTCCTGGAAGAAGGTGGGCTTTGAAGAGAAAATGGGGGCTAATTAGAGGGTCTGCATTTAGGGGTGTTATAAGGTCCTTGGGGACTTATTTAGAGCTGCATGCTGTCCCCTCAGTGAGCAGCCCAGGGAGTTGGAGTGATGCTGGGTGTGAGACCCTCAGGAGAGAGACCCAGACATCCTGCTTCTGCAACCACCTGACCTACTTCGCGGTGCTGATGGTGAGTGGAGCCCTCCCACCCTTAGCCACACCACAGCCCACTTCCTGTTCTGTACCAGGCACTTTTCACACATGATGGAATTTATCCCTTAGAACAACTCCCCCGGTAGTCCTTATTGTTCAGAGAGGGTAAACCATTTACTCAGAATCACACCGCTTGTAAGGGCAAAATCTGATCTGGGTAACTCTTGCTCTGTATCTCCAGATTTTGTTGTGCATTTGGTGTGCATCTTGGGAACAGGATAAAGATGCAGATTACAGACCTGACCTACAAGATTGCAGTGGGGTCTGGAGTGTAACTCTAATGAGCTCTGGAGGGGACACTTAGGCCCAACATAGAGACCCCGAGGTGGGCTCCAGGATCATAAAAGATTTGTGTCCCAGGTTCATGCTCCCAGAATCTTAGGATTCCAGCATCTGAGGGACTCTCTAGGGCCATTCATTCTCCCTGTGAGTGTCACCTGAATGTCCCTGGGGGTAGAGAACTTACTTCCTCAGAGGAAATCGAGTCATATGTTGAATGCTTATTATAGAAAAAGGTGAATGGCAGGACAGCAGAGGGGTCGGGCTAGAGAGCTCTTGACCTTTGTGGGTGAGGTACCTGGTGAGAGCTCCAGCCCAGAAAGCTTCACCTGTGGGAAGCACATTGCGTGTGAGGGCAGGATGCTGGCTCGTAGACTTCCATTGGGGCAGACCCTCAGTGTTGCCTGGGGACACTGAGGCCAGCCCTGCCTGCTATCTGGCCCAGGTCTCCTCTGTCGAGGTGGACGCCGTGCACAAGCATTACCTGACCCTCCTGTCCTACGTGGGCTGTGTCATCTCTGCTCTGGCCTGTGTCCTCACCATCACCGCCTACCTCTGCTCCAGGTAGGACCTGGAAGGGGTGAGGAGAGGGGAGGGGGACACTCCATTCCAGGCCTCCACAGCCAGAAAGACCTGCCCCAAGGCTTGCCACCCCCAACCCTGAGGGCTCCTGAGGGTCCCATCGCCTCCTTGTATGTATGGTGTTTGAACAGAGCAGCATTTACATTTTCAATCAAATTGCCAACATTTAAATATTGGGAGAGTTCACCTAAAACTCACGATTTTTGTCTTTAAATCATCAGTTGTGAAACCATTGGGTCCTAGTACCAATAGACTGGTGAAGATAAGGCTAACAGTTATGCTAGTGCTTTACAATATTGTCTCAGGTTCATCCACACAGCAACCCTGCAAGGGAGACTCAGAGAGGCTAAGTGGCTTGTCTGAGGTCGCACAGCAAGGAAGTGGCAGAGTTAGGCCTCGAAACACAGCAGACCGGCTTCAGATCCCCAGGTCACAGCTGTTAGAGCACAGTCTTGCCAGTTCTTTTAAGCCAGCACTCCTTGGTGACTGTTTTGAGACCTGTTCCCTGCGGGCATTGGAGTTTGATCCCCCATGAAGCTCTGTCATCCCAGTCCTAGTTAATTCCCTGGGGGAGAAGGACCCCTTTATAAACTTAATGAAGGTTGACCCAAGGCTGGCCATGGTGGGGGTTCTGGATTGTCTGTTCTTGGCTTGGTCTAAATTGAGGTCCACCCGCAGCCAGGCTCTGGGACTGTCAGGGTAGAGGGGAGTCACCTTTAGTTCTGTGATCATCCAGAGTGCCCTGACTGCCTTTGACATTTGGGGAGGGGGAACTGTGTGTATGCATACTGTGTGCGCATATATGTGTACGTGTGCCTGTGTTATGGGTGTCTACATGCAATGGGGTAGGAGTAGGTGATGTGGTTGTCCATTTGATGGACTCAGCAGAAGCCTGGGGTGGGGATGGAATCCCGAACACCTACTGATTGATCACAAGCGTGCCATAGGACATGGGACAGGAGCCCTTAGGAACTGAGGTGTTCCCCTCACTCCAGCTCTGGGGGGAAGGCATCAATGCTTCCACCTCATGGATGAGGAAGCCAAGAGTCCGAGGGAAAAGGCCAGCCAAGGTGATGCACTGCTGAAAGAGCAGGGTGGGATGGGAAGCCAGGATGCTGGGATCTGCCTGCCGCCAACTGTCTGCAGGCAGAGCACCATTCAGGGCGTGGGAAGCTGTGGAGGAAAGCTGGCCGTGCCCTGGAGGGCATGCAGAGCCAGACTTACAGACAGATTCACTGACCCCCAGACAGATATGCAAAACGCCACTGAATCCTCCAAAATAGCAAAAAGTCCAAACTCTTTGCCTTCCAATCTTGGCAGGAGAAAAACCCTTGAACAACACAGAAGTTAGGGGAGTGGAACCCCATGCTCCTCCCAAACTTCACCCTAACAATAACATAAACAGTCAATTAACACTTATTTTGTATATGTGTTATATGCTGTATTTTTATAATAACATAATCTAGAGAAAAGAAAATGTTCGTAAGAGAACGCTAAGGGAAAGGACAGAGCTGTCCTGTGTTTATCGACACTCTAAGTTTTACGTCATCTGTTTACAAGTGAACCGGCTTCACCTTGACTAGGCTGAGGAGCAGGAGGCTTGGTCTTTATGTCTCAGGGGTGGCTTTTGTTGTTAAATGCCATCGAGTCAGTTCCGACTCATAGCGACCCCACAGAGGGTTTCAGAGGAGTGGTTAGTAGGATTGAACTGCCACCCTGGTGGTTAGTAGTCTGATGCTTACCATACAGTGCCACACCAGGACTCCTGTCTCCAGAGTGCATAGGTAGAAGAGGTGGGAAAAATGGACAGGGGCAGGCATGCTCAGTGTAAATTTACAGAAATGCCTCATAATTTGTCTGGCTCTTTGGCTTTTTCATTTCTAAAAACTGTTTCTGTATAGTATCAATTACGGTGCCCCGGTTGAAGAAGGGTCCAATATATTTAATGAAAAAAATCCACGTGCAAGTGGATCAGAGTGGTTCAAACTCATGAAGTTCAGGCATCATTTGCATCTGCCTACTGTACTGTCGTGGAACGAGAGATATCATTGCTGATGTCCGATGGATCTTGGCTGAAAGCAGAGAATATCAGAAGGATGTTTACCTGTGCTTTATTGACTACGCAGAGGCCTTCGATTGTGTGGATCATGACAAGCTATGGACAACATTGAGAAGTATGAGTATTCCAGAACACTTCATTGTACTTCTAAGAAATCTGTACCTAGACCAAGAAGCAGTTGTTCGAACAGAACATGGGAACACTGAATGTTTTAAAATTGGGAAAGGTGTGAGACAGGGTTGTATTCTTTCACCATACTTATTCAACCTGTGTGCTGAGCAAATAATACGAGAAGCTGGGTTCTATGAAGAAAAACGTGGCATCAGGATTGGAGGAAGACTCATTAACAACCTGCGATATGCAGATGATACAACCTTGATCGCTGAAAGTGAAGAGGACTTGAAACATTTACTTATGAAGATTAAAGAGCACAGCCTTCGATATGGATTACATCTCAATGTCAAGAAAACAAAAATCCTCACCACTGGACCAATAAACAACATTCTTATCAATGGAGAAAAGATTGAAGTTGTCAAGGATCATTCTTCTTGGATCAACTATCAACACTCGCAGAAGTAGCAGTCAAGAGATCAGACGACATATTGCACTGGGCAAATCTGCTGCACAGGAACTTTTTAAAGTGTTGAAGAGCAGAGATGTCAGCTTGAGGACTAGGGTGCGCCTGACCCAGGCCATTGTGTTTTCAATAGCCTCATATGGATGCGAAAGCTGGACAGTGAATAAGGAAGATTGTAGAAGAATTGATGCCTTTGAGTTGTGGTGTTGGAGGAGAATACTGAAAGTGCCATGGACTGCCAAAAGAACCAATAGATCTGTTTTGGAAGAAGTGCAGCCAGAGTGCTCCTTGGAGGCTAGGATGGCTAAGCTTCGTTTCTCCTACTTTGGACATATTGTCCGGAGGAAACAATCGTTGGAGAAGGATGTCATGCTGGGTAGGGTGGAGGGTCAGAGAAGAAGAGGAAGACCCCCAACGAGATGGATCAGCCAGGTGGCATCATTGATGGACTCAGGTGTGGCGGCGGTAGTGAGGTTGGCCCAGGATCGAACATTGTTTCGTTCTGCTGTGCATGGGGTCGCTATGAGTCGGTTCCGACTCGATGGCACCTGACAACAACAACAACTGTGGTGACTGTTTGCCTTCCTCACGTGACTTGATGCAGGCCTGTGCCAAGCCTGTGGTGCTGGGCACGCAGTAGGTGCACAGGGACAAGTGAGGAGCAGACTGGCTGTTGTCATGAGAATAGGAGAGTGTGTGTGCTTGTGTGTGTATGAGAGAGAGAAAGCAGTCTGGATAGGCTTCCTGGAGGAGGAGGAGAAGTGGGCACACCCCCACCATCCCCCGCCTTCCCACACTGACCCATCAGAGTGGCCTGTTTCCCTCTCACACAGGAGGAAGCCTCGAGACTACACCATCAAGGTGCACATGAACTTGCTGCTGGCCATCTTCCTGTTGAACGTGAGCTTCCTCCTCAGTGAACCCGTGGCCCTGACAGAATCCAAGGTGGGCTGCCAGGCCAGTGCCATCCTCCTACACTTCTCCCTGCTCGCCTGCCTCACCTGGATGGGTCTCGAGGGCTACAATCTCTACCGACTTGTGGTTGAGGTCTTCGGCACCTACGTCCCTGGCTACATGCTGAAGCTGAGTCTCGTGGGTTGGGGTAAGTCGTGAGGGTGGGCCTGGGTCTCCTCCTGGCTCAGGAGAGATGTTGTTGGGCCTCAGCAAACCTGCCTCTGCCACTGGCTTCTGGCACCATTCAGACACCTGTTTCCATTTCTCCACCTACCTCTCTGAATGGCCCCTCTGTTGCCTTCATCCCGTCACTCCCTCATTCTTGGGGGTCCTTCTCTTTGGTTGGGTCAATGTTCCTTTTAGGAAGGTGAGGCAGTGGGCTCTCTCCCCAAGAAACACGCACATCATTCCTTCTGTTCAAAACGGTTTTCAGGCAGGATGGCCCTATATGGATATATGGCAAGTTGTGCACTGTTCAAAGGCACACAGCTATGGATGAATGGAGCTGAAATTCAATCTCCTCCATTCACCCCATTTACCCAGAGTGGCAGTGCTACTGCCTGTGCGTTCCCCGGAACCTCAGGTAACAAACTCCCCATGACTTTGGCCATATTCTTGGCCAACAGCACATTGGCTGCTCTCTTGTCAGAGTCCCAGAAACTCACACCACAAGTCCTACTGGATGTTTCATGCACTCCTCAACCTCGCCTGCTCCTGCCCGCATCTTCCATGTCCTTCTGCATTTCTCATTCATCCTCTGCTTTGTTAACTCCATCCATTCATGTGACGCCATTCAGTACCAGGCCTGGGTGCTGGCTGTGGGTGACCCACCTCAGGGACAAGGTCTAGTCCCAGCCAGACAAGCCCTGGGGGCAGAACTCTGGATGCCCCCCTTCCACTCACTCCCACTCACCAGTGCCCTGTCTTCTTTCCTCTCCCCTCACTACTCCAGCCTCTCAGGGGGGAACTCAGGCTCTTCCTCTGAGGGGCCCAGATGGTGAGGGGTGGGTTACCTAGGGGACTGGGCTGGCTCTGGGAGGAAGCCTCTGGGCAGAGGGAAGGGAGGACCTGGTAGGTGGGAAGTGACACTTCAGGATTTGTCATCTTCAGGGTTCCCCATCTTCCTGGTGACATTGGTGGCCCTGGTGGACGTGAACAACTATGGCCTCATCATCCTGGCTGTGCACAGGACTCCAGAGAGAGTCATCTACCCCTCCATGTGAGTGGCCGTGTGGGTTGGTGGGGGAATGCAGGCCTCAGGATACAAAGGGTGGAGAGTAGCCCTGGGTCCAGGCCATACGAGGAAACTCTGGGTTCTGGGGTTGCTGGCCGGGTTGTGGCTGGAGCACAGGGCTGAGGGTCAGGGAGGGTGCAGGCAGGTCTGGCTCTGCCACTCACTCACTGAGTGATCTTGGGCAGGTCCTGGCCTCTGTTTTCTCATGTGTGACTAGGGTATGGCTTCGAGCATGTGAAGCTTACTGTGCTCCACAGATGGGAAGACTTAGACCCAGAGAAGCCTGGGATCCCCTCCTCCCCCACTGAGGGGCTGTGGTGAAGACTGGACTAGAAGCTGGGCTCTTGGGTCTCAGGCTGAAAAGGATTTCTTTCTGCTAGCTCAGCACTTTGAAAATTTTAGACCTGCACATCCTGACCCCATGGTTTTTTGTCTTAATCTTATACCAGTTATATTATTTTTATGTTATGTTTTTTTTTTTATCATCTGGTTTGTTAGATTAAATACATTAAAAAAATTCTTTATCAACACTATAAATAGAAAACAAGCCTCACTTGTCATAAACAGCAACAAAGGCAGAGACAGTGGCAAACCTAGCTATTAAATTACACTTGATCACTTGTTGGAAAGGGAGACTAGCAAGTGTTAAAGGCATTAAAGACACATTAGCGCTAAACTGAGATTTCCAGCTCACCAGCCACGAAACCCTATATAGGGTCGCTATGAGTCAGAATTGATTAGATAACACTTAACAACAACAACAAAGGGAAGGACCAAAAGAGAAATGAGAAGGGAGTAACTCCTCTGTTCGCTGTAGGGCACACCCCTGGTGTAGGACGCTGTGACGGCCAGGCCATGAATTCAGCCCTCACACCTTGCCCACAGGTGCTGGATCCGGGACTCCTTGGTCAGCTGCATCACCAATCTGGGCCTCTTCGGTTTGATATTTCTCTTCAACACGGTCATGTTGGGCACCATGGTAGTGCAGATCCTACGGCTGCGCCCTCACGCCCAGAAATGGCCCCATGTGCTGACGCTGCTGGGCCTGAGCCTGGTCCTAGGCTTGCCTTGGGCCCTGGTGTTCTTCTCCTTTGCCTCCGGCACCTTCCAGATTGTTGTCCTCTACCTCTTCAGTATCATCACTTCCTTCCAAGGTAGGTGTGGAGAAGACCCCACACCATTGCCCAAGCAGGGTGCCCATGCACAGAGCATGGAAGAGAAGACCTGAGGGTTCCTTCCTCAATCTTTCCATCCATAAAATGGGGCATCCAGACCACAATCAACAAGTGTTTATTGAGCACCTACAATATACTAGAAGGACCTCTGGTAGCGTAGTGGGTATAAGTTGGGCTGTTAACCTCAAGGTCAGCAATTTGAAACTACCAGCCATTCTGCTGGAGAAAGACGAAGCTTTCTGCTTGCTTAAAGATTTGCAGCCTCAGAAACCCTACACAAGGTTGCTAAGAGTGCACACCACCACTATGTACTAGAGTCTTGGTGTGGTGCTGTGGGTTAATGCGCTGGACTGCAAAGTTAGTTTGAACTGCAAGATCCGCAGTTCAAGCTCACCAGTTGCTCCTTGGAAACACTACAGGGTTGTTATGAGTTGGAACTGACTCGATGCACTTAACAACAACAACTCTATACAAGTGTTATGCTAAGCTCTGTATCTATATTCATGAGGCGGCCAAGTGAGGATCCTACTCCTGTGGAGCTCATGTTTGTGGGAAGGATAGTGAACCAGCAAGCTGGCAACTACCAGCGGCAATTCCAGAGAGCAGGACAATAGCAGGCAGTGTCAGTGCTGGGGCTCCGGAGGGGCCAGGGAGGCATCTGCAGAGGAGCCATTTGAAGGAGTCCCTTCAAGTTCATATGTGTGTCACGAGGCAGGTGGTTTAATCTTTGAGTCTTGGTTTTCTCTTACAAGAAATGAAAAGGACTTCACACAGCCAACATTTACTGGGCCATGAACAAATCAGTAGTATTATATTGGGGAGAGGAGCAAAATGGGTGGGCTCTGGACTCCTTCCTGGCTCTGCCATTTTCTGCTCAGGCAAGCCCCGTGGCCGCCCTGGGTCTCAGTCTTTTCGTTTGTAAAATGGACTAATTGTGACCTCATAGGACCCTTGAGAGACTAAAGGGAGAGGATGTGTGCCAAGGACTTAGCACAATGCTTGGCACATAGTGTGTGGCATTCATTACACATCACACAGGTGCCTGGGAGCCTGTGTGGGCAGAAGGGTGAGGGAGGGGAGGGAGGCAGAGCTCAGTCAAGGTAGCTCTGGGAGGGAGGAGGAAGGGTGGGCTGGGCTGCCTCTGACTCTGAACTCCCTCTGCTGCCCCAGGCTTCCTCATCTTCCTCTGGTACTGGTCCATGCGGCTGCAGGCCCGCGGTGGTGGTTCCTCTTCCCTGAAAAGCAGCTCAGACAGTGCCCGGCTTCCCATCAGCTCTGGCAGCACCTCATCTGGCCGCATCTAAGCCACCAGCCCACCTGCCTGGCTCTACACCACAGCCCGTGGTCCCCACAGCTGGCCCAGCCCTTGGCTGGCCAGCTCTGGGACTTCAGAAGGTCCCCAAGGACTTCGGAGGGATGAGGCTGTTGCCATGGTGATAAGATTTCTAGGCTGTGCTTTCTGAATGGATCTTGGGGATGACTTGGCTCTGGCTCCAGCTCCCAATGGAATGCGTAGTCCCACTGGCTATGGGAGCACCCCAAGCTGTCCTCACTGGGCTGGTGCCAAGCCTTTCATCACCTGCCCTGAGCCCAGCCTCACTGCTGGGTTGGGACCTGCAGGGATCAGACTTCACTCCATGCAGGCAGAGTGTAGGTGCAGCCCATGTTCCTGGTCCAGGGCAGAACGTGGCCAAGGTGGCTCTCTGGTGATCATCACATGACACTCTCAGCCACTGTTCTTGCAACCCCGGTCATTTTTATTTGAGAACAGACAGCGCTTTGGAGCCAGACCCCTCCTGTGAGCGTAGTAGCAGCTCCCCTACCCCTAAGCCCAGGGTCCCCTCCCTCCTTCAGTCCCAGTCTTCCCTCCTGTTCCCAGAGACTCACTTAATCTCCTTCCTTCCTAACCCGAGGGCTTCCTTGCTTCCTTCTGCCCCTCCCACAAGACCCCTCCAATCCTTACCCTCCTGACAGGGCCTCCTCAGCCCTCAGTCTAGGGTCCCCAGTTCTAATGCTGTAGTTTGGGTAGTGGATTCTAAGACCGCTGGTGCCTGCTGTAGATCTATGTCTGCTACACAGACCTCCGCCTGTCCTGGCATCAGGCTTAGTATAGATGTTCTAGGCTGGGCTGGTCCTTCTGGGTCTCTCTATAAGCTGTATCACTCTTGCTCACACCTGTCAGCCCCACACCTTGGGGTTATCAGCAGCTCCCAAAGCCCTCTTGGGGCAAGAACTGTGACAGATAGCAGCCCACTTTTCCACTCCAGCATTCTGAAGACTGAGATGCGCTGCCTTTGAAGACACTGGCTTACAGCCCTACCCCTTTAAGGGTCATCTCCGAATACCTGCAGACCACCTTGTGCACGCTTGACTGCCCACCACAGTTGATTCTGTGAAATAAACACACGTTGATCAGTTGCTGGCTGATGGGTGGAGACACAGACCCAGCTTCTCCCCTCTGTGTGTTCTCAGTTGTGTGCACGAGGCATGGTCTAGACAAGAGCTCTTGTTTGGGGAGCCATCACACCTGGTCAGGAACCTAGGAAGACTTCCTGCAGAAGGTTACATTTGATTTCAGTCTTTAAGATGGGAAGGGTTTTCTTTTTAAGTACCAGTTCATTTGTCTTTTGGTTATTTAAGAAAAACAAAACAAAAACAAAAAGCCAAGTTTGTTGTAGAATGTTTGGAAACTAGAAGAGTATAAAAGAAGAAAATAAAAAACATGTGTCATTGTCACCAACATAAACAGTTTGGAGTATTTTCTTCGGAGCATCTTTCTACGCGTCTGTTACAAGATTCACTGATTTAACTACCTTGAGGTCAGACAGGTAACAAGAATGAGAGAAGAGGGGCATGTGTGAAAAAAGTAAATTGCTGAAAATCTCATTAAACAAGGCATGGTGCCAGCAGGGAGTGTGGGTCCAAAGGACTGGAGCAGCTGCCACTCACCGGCAGCCCCCTACCCATCAGGGATGAGAAATTCAGGAAAGGAGAATTTCAGGCTGTGGTGTGAAAGCTCTGCATTATTAAAAAAAAAAAAAAAAATTCACTGGCCAAAGAAATCACATTTGAGGGTTGAATTCAGTCCTTGACTAGTCACATAATGCATGAGAGGGCTTCAAAAATTTGTGAGAAGGTTCTTGTTGTTGTAAGGTGCCATCGAGTCGGAACCGACTCATAGCGACCCCATGCACAGCAGAACGAAACAATGTCCGATCCTGGGCCAACCTCACTACTGCTGCCGCACTTGAGTGCATCAATGATGCTACCTGGCCAATCCATCTCATTAAGGGTCTTCCTCTTTTTCTCTGACTCTCCACCTTACCCAGCATGACATCCTTCTACAGCGACTGTTTCCTCCGCACAATATGTCCAAAGTATGAGAGACGAAGCTTAGCCATCCTGGCCTCCAAGGAGCACTCTGGCTGCACTTCTTCCAAAACAGATCTATTGGTT